GTTTTAATTTATAATTGGCGAATTCTTTCGGGTAGAATCAGTCAGTGGATAGTAAAAAAAATTGAAATAAATTTTGGAGAGTTTACTCGTGTAGAGTCGATTTATGGAGAGACAAAAAGTGGTCTTTGAAGAATCGGAAAAGGTTGAACTGAGTCCCTGCCTGTGCAATCGTATTAAAAATATTTTAATTGGAATTTATTTTTATATTATAAAATTATTACTTTTCTTCATTGCAATGAAAAATATGTGATACAAATAATCAAATTTATATAAACATTTATTTGAAACAAATTATTATTACTTGAGTTACAATATACAATATTAATATATTAATATGTGTGTGACGCCAACCCCCATTCTCTAAAATTTTCGAGACAACTTCTGAACGGTACGTGAATTGCATGGTAGGCGAGTACAGCGAATTCCAGCGTATTGTCGAAATTCCCCACCTCCCCTTTCCCCCTCCCCCACCCTAAATTTAAAGGTTAAGATCGTTTCAAGACTCTGAATATAGCCGCAAGTCCCCCCTCCCTTCTCTTCTACCCCCCTTCTCTTAACTTGCGGCTATATTCAGAGTCTTGGAACAGCGGCGGCGGCGTTGGCGGCGATATCTTTTTGTAATATAGGTAGATATATATATGAGAGATTCTTTTTCAATCGCCCCAGCCCAAAAAGTCAATGTTCTGGGATTAACTTCATACTTTGGTAAATTGTTGTCCTATATGATAGTAATAAATCCCTAAAATATAAACTCATTAAAAAAATATTTGTCGAGATATTTGTAGAAAGTAGAGGGGGTTGAAGTTTTGACGTTATGGGTAACATTGTCATTTTCAAATCCGTATAACTATGACAAAAGTTAATGGATTTTAATTTATCTACAATGAATTGTAATGCATTTTTCAAGTACTTTACAAAAATGTATACGAAATTAAAAAAAAAATTTCACCCCTTTTTTCAAAATCAACCCTTATTTTTCTATTTTCACCCCTTCGGGAATTTTTTTTTTCTTTTATTTTCATTGGAAAGCTGAGGTTTTTTTCCATAAGCTATGTAAATATGAAAGTCGGACAACAAAAATTTTGTGAGAAACATAATATTAAATTAGGCGGTGCCTACCTAAATCCTCGAAGATGATCTCCAGGTATACCCGGTATAGGCACCACCTACTTTAAAATTGAGTAGCTGCCTGCAATAACTCGCCGAGCGCTTGGCCGATCGCTCTAACGCCAGTCAAACGTTCAAAAACGTGAAAAAAATGAAAAATCAAAATTTTGATTTTTGAAAAGTGCAATCTTGTAGGACATAAGATGGCGCATCTTTTTTCTTTTGAGTTTTTTTGTAGATCAAAAAATAGAGTTAATATATGCAAATCACTTAAAAATTTTATTTCACAAATTTCATTCAATTTTTAAACATAAATCATAGTATCTTTGACAAATTTCAATGAATCTTATTGAAAATTAATATACATACGTATTTAGGTGCATAGAAGACGACAACATAATCAAAAATATTAAAATCATCAATTGTTTATTTATAATTAATTGTAAATGAAGACTTGTCAATAATAATGTTTACTTACCTTTGTCGACATAAAGTGTGTGGGGAACTTCAGAGTTGAAGAAACTTCCAGTGAGACATTTGTTTATCATAATGTAAGGAAGTTTTTTGTAAAATTGAAAAATAATTTATCAACAACTTTAGAAAATATAGAACGATTAAGAAAACATGCGCGACGCGCTAGCGAGTCTCCGCGCGGAGAATTGCACACAAGAGTTAAGAAGGACGTTATGTTATGTTGTGATATATTATGTTTTGAAAATGGAGCCAACATACTATCACTGTTGATATGTAATTAATACTAATACTAATTTCTTAAAAAAATGAAGAAACAGAAAATAAAGATATACCTTAATATTAATTATTAAAAAACTTATTTGCAAACTGCACAAACAGTACATACAAGCACCAAAATATTTTAAAACTATTGATTATTTAGTAAATATTAAAAAAACAGTTGTTCAAATTTAATTTGCATTTTCATAAAATTAACTCATATTTTATTTGAAAAACATTTCTAAGAATGTAGTGACAATATTTGTTTCTGTATTTTCGGTCCTCTACAACTCTTGTTTGCAATTCTCCGCGCGGAGACTCGCTAGCGCGTCGCGCATGTTTTCTTAAACGTTCTATATTTTCTAAAGTTGTTGATAAATTGTTTTTCAATTTTACAAAAAACTTCCTTACATTATGATAAACAAATGTCTCACTGGAAGTTTCTTCAACTCTGAAGTTCCCCACACACTTTATGTCGACAAAGGTAAGTAAACATTATTATTGACAAGTCTTTATTTACAATTAATTATAAATAAACAATTGATGATTTTAATATTTTTGATTATGTTGTCGTCTTCTATGGACCTAAATACGTATGTATATTAATTTTCAATAAGATTCATTGAAATTTGTCAAAGATACTATGATTTATGTTTAAAAATTGAATGAAATTTGTGAAATAAAATTTTTAAGTGTTTTGCATATATTAACTCTATTTTTTGATCTACAAAAAAAAATTCAAAGGAAAAAAGATGCGCCATCTTATGTCCTACAAGATTGCACTTTTCAAAAATCAAAATTTTGATTTTTCATTTTTTCACGTTTTTGAACGTTTGACTGGCGTTAGAGCGATCGGCCAAGCGCTCGGCGAGTTATTGCAGGCAGCTACTCAATTATGTTTCTCACAAAATTATTGTTGTCCAACTTTTATATTTACATAGCTCATGGGAAAAAACCTCAGCTTTCAAAAATTTTTTTTTTAATTTCGTATTCATTTTTGAAAAATACGTGAAAAATGCATTAAAATCATTGTAGATAAATTAAAATCCATTAACTTTTGTCATAGTTATACGGATTTGAAAATGACAATGTTACCCTTAACGTCAAAACTTCAACCCCCTCTACTTTCTACAAATATTTTTTTAATGAGTTTATATTTTAGGGATTTATTACTATCATACACGGAAAAAACAAACTAACTATTTTAGCACCAAACTGCTTTATCCTTTATTAGTATGCAATTTCGTTTACCTATTAAAGTATGAAATAATGCTTTTTTAGTTTAAAGTAAGTCCATACTAAATAAGTATAATGGTTATACTCTTTTAGTAATAGTGACGTACTTTAAAAGCATAAAGTTGATGCCCGCGAAGTACGACATATAGTCTACCTAAAATAGCAAGAGCTTCTTCCTTTTTGGTGTATAAATTCTTGCAACCTGCGGTTTGGCCTATATCGATATATCAATGGTTGGAAGGAGAAGGAGGCGTGGCCAAAACGCAGGTTGCAAGAATTTATACACCAAAAAGGAAGAAGCTCTTGCTATTTTAGGTAGACTATATGTCGTACTTCGCGGGCATCAACTTTATGCTTTTAAAGTACGTCACTATTACTAAAAGAGTATAACCATTATACTTATTTAGTATGGACTTACTTTAAACTAAAAAAGCATTATTTCATACTTTAATAGGTAAACGAAATTGCATACTAATAAAGGATAAAGCAGTTTGGTGCTAAAATAGTTAGTTTGTTTTTTCCGTGTATGATAGTAATAAATCCCTAAAATATAAACTCATTAAAAAAATATTTGTAGAAAGTAGAGGGGGTTGAAGTTTTGACGTTAAGGGTAACATTGTCATTTTCAAATCCGTATAACTATGACAAAAGTTAATGGATTTTAATTTATCTATAATGAATTTTATTGCATTTTTCACGTACTTTTCAAAAATCTATACGAAATTTAAAAAAAAATTTTTTAACCCCTTTTTTTCAAAATCAACCCTTATTTTTCGATTTTCACCCCTTCGGGTATTTTTTTTTTTTTTTTTTTTTTTTATTTTCATTGGAAAGCTGAGGTTTTTTCCGATGAGCTATGTAAATATGAAAATGGGACAACAATAATTTTGTGAGAAACATAATATTAAATTAGGAGGTGCCTATCTAAATCCTCAAAGATGATCTCCAGGTACACCCCTTATCGGCACCGCCTACTTTAATATTCTGTTACTCACAAAATTATTGTTGTCCCATTTTCATATTTACATAGCTCTTCGGAAAAAACCTCAGCTTTCCAATGAAAATAAAAAAAAAAAAAAAAAAAATACCCGAAGGGGTGAAAATCGAAAAATAAGGGTTGATTTTGAAAAAAAAGGGGTTAAAAAATTTTTTTTTAAATTTCGTATAGATTTTTGAAAAGTACGTGAAAAATGCAATAAAATTCATTATAGATAAATTAAAATCCATTAACTTTTGTCATAGTTATACGGATTTGAAAATGACAATGTTACCCTTAAGGTCAAAACTTCAACCCCCTCTACTTTCTACAAATATTTTTTTAATGAGTTTATATTTTAGGGATTTATTACTATCATATAGGACAACAATTTACCAAAGTATGAAGCCAATCCCAGAACATTGACTTTTTGGGCTGGGGCGATTGAAAAAGAATCTCTCATATGTATATTATATTAATAATATTATTAAAAAACGAAAAGTAATTCACAACATCTAAATATTATCATAACTATTACTTTTAAAATGACAATTGAGGTATATTTACTTTTATATGCAAAAGTGAGAAAAATTATATTTGTTTCATTTTCAAAGTTGAAAAACTACTGGGTTTTTTAAATTTACTATTTTGAGTGGGTTTATTTAATTTTTAAAAATGTAAATTTGCACAAAATATATATAACATCACAATTTTGTGTACTTGTACATTATAGAGTACTTTTATCGCTTTCAAAGAGGGTCTATTTTCTTACTACGAAAATTGTAAAGTTACAACTTCGATTGTATTTCTAAATTTAAAAAGTGTATAAATATCTCACTGAAAATAGTAAAATTACATAAATTCTAAAATTTGAAGATTTTTGGCAAAATACTAACTTTTTTATATTTATTAAATGTTTAAATCTATATGAATTTTTCATTTTTCATAGATATGTCAGAGGCGGATTTAATTTATACTGAAACGCTCATGCAACGGGGTAAAGAAACTTATGCGGGAAAAGAAATAGTTATTTTAGGAGGAGGAGATGGAGGATTACTGTGGGAGTTGTTAAAGGAAAAACCAAAGCACGTGACGATGTTGGAGGTTTGTGTTAAAGAATTTTTCTCCTTTCATTATCTTTAAAATAACATTTCCCCGTATATATTTATATATTTCTTTTGTGTATTTTTAGATTGACGACATTGTCATGAAAGCCTGCAGTCAATACATGAGAAGTATATGTGGCGATTGCTTGGACAAAAAAAAGACTGATAATTATGAAGTAAGTTCAATAAATTCAATTTATTGAGAATTTAGCTCAATTTCGACATTAATATTCACATATAAAACTTTTATTTTGAATTTAAAAATTAAGCTTTTTTAGTATTATTAAAAATCGCGCTGAAATAATTATGTAGATTATGTATGTTCGGACATTTTCAATTTCGGTTAAATGAAAAATCGGAGTTTTAAGAATTTGGATAAATGAAGATTCAGTGAAATGGAAATACTGGCATGTAAAAATTTTGACTCACTTAAAATTAGCTTGAATGATAATTCTTCTAAATTACAATTGTTCTAAATAAAAAGTTTCGAGAAAATAAAAATTGTGTTAAATAAAAATTCGGGTTAATTTTAATTCTATTTAACACAAATGAGGTGCATGAATATTGACCAATTGACATGTGACAGAAATGTCATTTAACCAAAATGCATATGACACACATGTCATTTGACCATAATGACATGTTACAAAAATGACAATTATCAAACATGTAATTTGACCTAAATATTCTAGCGCGAAATTCAAAATTGACCAATTAAAAGCTATTATTAAAATTGTAATTGGTCAATTTTTAAATTCGCGCTAGAATATTTAGGTCCAAAGACAAGTTTGATAAATGTCATTTATATCAAATGTCATTTTTGTAACCTGTCATTATGGTCAAATGACATGTGTCATATGCATTTCAGTTAAATGACATTTCTGTCACATGTCAATTGGGCAATATTCATGCCCTTCAGTACAAATTCAAAAAAAGCGACTGAAAAAATTCTATTAAATTCCTTTAAATGAAAATTTAAACTAATAAATTTTATGTTATATTCATAAGTAGGATTCTTTATGAAATGGAAGGGTTTATTTTTGTGTGTATGATTGTAATCTAAAACCATTTTAAATTTAGATTATTGTTGGCGATTGTGTGAAAACTTTGTCACACATGATAGAGGAAGGACGACAATTTGATTACGTCTTTGGTGATTTAACAGACATACCAATTAGTTCAACACCACATGGTGATGCCTGGGATTTTATCAGATTGATTTTAAATTCGTCGTTCAAAGTATTAAAACCAACTGGAAAGTACATGACGCACGTTAGTAATATATTTTTTTTAAAAAAGACGCATATCTGAATATAATCTAAAATTCAATGTCTTTTTTAATTCACAAAAGAATCGAAATAGTTAATTATTTTATTTCTGAAATTTTCTGAATAAATAACTTATTAACTTTTTTAATAGGGTAATGGCGCATCATGTCCAGAATCTTTGAAAATGTTCGAGGAAGTATTAAGTCAGCTGTCAGTGCCAGTGAAATACACAAAAAGTAGCGCGTTTATTCCATCTTTTTTTGAAGATTGGGTATTTTATCAAGTTTCGTTGAAATGATGGATTAAAATTACGACTAGGTTGTCGAAATATCTAGCGAAATTCATTCACATTGTCTCAAGTTCTTTATGACCTGAACTTCTTTTTAGTTTTAGTATATTTCAATTAATGATAATTAATCCATCGATCAGTTCCTCTTAAATGAAACCATCTCTAAAAATCTTGGTCCAAAGTTATTTGAATTCAATCTAATATAATAAACGGTTGCAATAAAACGCCTTTGTAAATATAAGTAGGTATTATTAGATTTCGATATAACTTTGTCATGAAATATGTTTATTTATGACAATAAAAAAAAAGTTAAATATTAAGTGTTGTGTGTATGTTTTTCTTCTTTTTTAAAAACAATTTGTTAACAATTTTTTTATGTTTAATTACACTAAGATTGACGTTTTTAAGATAACTTTTTACTTTTAATTTTTACCAAAAAAATATCTAAGGAACGTTTTAGAAACTAACTGTAATGGAATTGAGAAAATTCCCCTCCCCTGTGATTATAAAAAAAAGCTTGCATTGTAATAGAATCTACAGCATTTGTAACAGTATTTTGTAGTATAATAATTATTGTAGTTGTTAAAATACAAAAATATTTTGCCTATTAATGCGATTTATATTATTTTTTAGTAATGTTGTTTCTTCTTGCAGTTTTGAAAAACTGTCAAGTTCTGAAATTTTAATATTAAGTTACGTTGTACAAATATATAGAGAGAGCATTAGGATATGAACATGTGATTTGAATTTCGTAAGATTCCTCTAAGAATAAAGTATTTAGTCAGTATATATGATAATAATATAATTACCCATATTATCAGTACAAAAATGTTTAACATTTAAGCACAATAGGTAATCAGAAAGACAACCAAAGATTTGTTTTCTTCGAATTTTAATGTATTCTACATATATCGCTTCTTTATTATATTATACACCTATTTCTATTGTATAATCAACATCTTTCGTCCAATCGAAACATACATTTGATAGTACGGTGGGTTTCGCTTATAGTAAGATTCAAAGAGGCTTTAAATTTTATAACAATTATGATTCATTTTTTAAATATTACCAATTACTAATTGCAATTTGATCAAATCATTTTGCAATTCATTTGGTCTAAAGAAACTATAAGTTTATCAATAAAAGAAAAACCTTCGTTCATTAGAAACGACCTACAGAAATAGAAGTGAAATCAAATGTACAAGTTTGTTAAAAAAAATGTAATCCGACCACAAGAGTTGCAGATTTTTATTGTATTATAAACAAAATAATTGCAATGCACCGTCGCCAATAATCAAACAGTAAACTTTTCTTCTAATACAGATGTCCAAATATATTGTACAATGTACCTATTTTTGCTGGGAAAAGTGTTTCTTTATGGAAAAACATTAAATAAATGGTATTCGCCAATTTTGTAATGAAACTGAATATTAGTAAAAAATTAATCACTCAACGCGTATGAAGAAATATTTCATGTCAAATTCCCAATTTTTAAAAATGAAATCTACATTTTTGCACAGAATTTAGTCCTATTAGATTAAGGGGTTAGACCACTGTGAAGACCAAAAATCAAACCCAGTTTTAAGATTTGTTTTCAAGAACAAAATAAAATGAATTAAAAAATCAATTATATATTATTGTTAAGTACATATTAAACTATTAAAAAATTATTTTCAAAAGGTATAAAAATTATAATGGCGGCGCTGATAGTCGATCTACAAAAACCCTTTTTTTATGCAGAGGTGTACGGCCGGTAGAAAATCTTTTTCAGTTTTTGACTTAAAACAAAAAACCAAATTTTTTCTTAATTTATAACTTAAAATCTATAGAAGTACGTAGGGGATTTTGAAAAAACCCATTTTTGTAAAAATGGCACGTGTTTGATCAAAAAGCTTTTAAAAATATTTTACCTCGATAATGATTATTGTTTCTCATTTCTAACACCCTAACAACAACCCTTTCTAACACCTTCTTATCAAAAAAAATTTTGATTTTTTTAAAATATCACAGTGGTCTAACCCTTCAAACATTAAATATTACAAATAACCTAAACTAATTAAACTATGATTTAAATATATAAGTCTGACCATTATATTTCGAATTAAATCGTTGTCCATTAGTTTAAAAAAAATGTCATACTTTTAAAAATGCTTCTGTATGATATCCAGGTAATGAAATAATAGTATATTGTGCATCAAGTACCAAAAGAAGCTGTTTTTCGACGAGCGCAAAATTTCGCACATAGTCGGAAAATGTTCTTTTGTATGTTGAGCATACAGTACTTTGTGCAACACCTATTGAGAAGTGAATGACAAGCTACATATCTTTTTTGTTATTAAATAACAACATAAGCGACCAAAAGTGGATAAATCCATTTTCTACTACTTCCCGAAATTTAAACAAATCAGATTATTTTTTTGGACTTAGAAGTTTTATTAATTAAAGTGGACCATCAATAATTTATTTTAAAGGTTATTTTTAGATACACTTAAAATGAAAGGAAAATAAAATTATTTTTATATTTTCTCGCGTGAACAGCTGCAACTGCTTTTTGAGTCGCTTGTTCATTCGGCGTTACTCTTATTCGTATATTTTCGCACCATGGAGCTGAAAATGCAACATAAAAATTAATTTTACAATATTCGTAACTCGCCACCTCGCCCCATCAATACACTTCTCAAAAAAACGTAAATATTTTCATGAAAGCTTAATAAATTGATAAACTTAAACTATATTCGTCTTCAGCGATGAATTCTATATAGCCACTGATACGCACATGTCATATAATTTGCATTTGGTCAAAAGTTATGAGCCATAAACAAAAGGGTGCGCACTCAAAGAAAAATTGTACTCGCGGATTTTCGCTCAATCAATTTGAAATTCCTTACTCACACACTCGCACATTTTGAATTTTACTTACCCCAGAAAATTAAGGGTAGGGACGCGACTATATAAGCCAAGTAAATGCGTGTTTCTGTCTCCTTTATCTGAACAGTTTTAAACTGGTAAGAGCTTTCTTTTATATTTTAATATAAGGAAATTTCAGAACAACAAAATCCACTAAGTCAAGTCTTTCAAACTTGAGAAGTGCAGATTGTTGGGGGCTTTCTAACCATCTCTACCTAAACGATCTGTATCTCTGGGCGAGAAAGATAAAAAAGATTAAATCGTATTTAAAAATAAAATTTATTTAAAAATTGTTAATTTTGGGAGACCAATTGTTAGGGGCTCTCTAACGATTTCTACCAATACGATTGGTCCTTCTTAAATTGACAATAAAAAATTGTCGAAGAGGAAAGTCTGTTGTCAGGAGCTTTCGAAAGATTTCTACCAACACGACTGACATTCCAAATCTGCAATAAAATAAATTATTATTTAACAAAACAACAAAATAATACCAACAAACAAATCTTCTAAATCAAGCCACGGAAAATCAATGGTCAGGGGCTTTCTAACGATCTCTACCAACACTGTTGATTGTTCAAGAGTGGTAAAAAGATTAAATCGTAATTCTTGTTTAATATTCTGGTATGCCATGTGCATTGCAATAGGCGATCCACATGACAATTTGAAAGATTAAACTATAGAGATGATTCTGACAAACCCAAGAATTAGCTAGAATTAATTAATTTATTCAAATTAATTATCTAGTAGGGTTTTACAGAGATAAATCTATTGAAGTTTAATGTAAATATTATAGTTTAACAATATATTGTTGAACTATGATGACTCATTAAAGTTTAATTTTTTATACCAAGAATAGCAAAGGCAGAAAAAGAGTTTGGAAAAACTAACCCTTAAAATTTTGTTAGGTAAAATTTTATAATATTGTTAAAATAATTTATTTTATATTTTTTTTTGTAGATTTTCATAGACCACAAAACTATATTTCGATTTAATAGACAAGCGAAATAACCACAAAATGAAGGTGTGTTTTTATTTATTCATAATTACTAAATTAAACTAAAAGTAAATTTTATTCTATTCAGAACTGAGAGATAATAAGGAAGGACTCACAATCGTTTTTATAAACAAAGAAATTAAGCTATATTGTCAGGTTGATTGTTTATTTTCATTACTTAAATAAAAATAACTAATTCTCTTATTTATTATCATTATTTTCTTTAGCATCAAATTCTTTGAAACGATAAACAATCAATTGTTTAAACAAGTAAAAGAATTTTGAAAAGTTAATAACAAAAGCTAAAAAACTAAATAATTATTGGAAAGATTCCTCTAATTTAGATTGAAAAGTGACAAATAATTTAAAAATAAAAGAGAAGAATATAAATATATATAAGTGTAATATAGAATTTGGAAAAGCAAAAAAAAGATAAATACTTTTCATTCATAAATTTTACTACATGTTTACAATCTTATCTGATGATATAGTTAGCACGTGTTTCATTATATTGAATAATAGAAATTAAGGATATAATGTCCCTTTAAATTTTAACAATACTTTTGTTTCTTTTGTATTAGAGATAATAGAATGTGGGTGATACTTCCCTAAACATTTATGTTTATAGTTTATCAGCCACATGTTTGAACTCATTTGCTTCTGAGAATCGATGTGTAAATTTAATTAAATAACAATAAGAAATTATAAAATAATAATCTTTGTATTCATTCCTTCATTCATTCACATTTTCTTAGTACTTGAATTTTCTCATTATTATTAGATTATCTTTACTTTGATAATTAGGGTTCTCGAAGGTTTCTACCTGAAATTTTTTTTGTCAAAACAGCTTTCGGTTGAGGGTTCATAAGATGGTCGATGACCTTTTAAATACTGTCCTGTAAGGCGAAGTTGTGTCCCCCACTTTACCAGCCCGGCTCGAACAATCACCATGTGGTTATATGTACTGGAGAATAAAAAGCAAGAAGAAAATTTTTGGTGCCAGCACCTTTGGGTTAATCGGTTTAAAACACATCATGTAGGTCTATTGAATTGAACTAAAATTATAAAATTTTTCAATATTAACATTTATTATTATTGGAGCAATATATGCTCGTAATCGTGAACTTCTGAGGAAAACGAATATGTCAAAATAAATTAAACAATGTTTATATTTAAAAATTTTATAATTTTTTTGAAAAACTCATTAAGCGTCATAAAATAATATTGTCATTAAGCCCAAGAACGCCACACAGCCCCCCGCTGTAATTGACTTACTCGAGGTCTGAGCCCGGGATAGGCCGATAGAGTGAGGATATACCACTTCCCTTTTCAGGACCCAATCCGTGATCGCTCGATTCGTCCTAACAGCCTTGGGTTGAGGGAAATTTTTTTTATTATTGTATATGCGATATAGATGATAACCGTTTAATCCCCGTGAGTGGAAGTGGTGTATCCATACTTAACTTACCAACATCTATTCTCGAGGACGCCACTCAGGCCTATCGTAATATCTGCCTCACGCGAGAACTTAATATAGGCCCGGATTGGTAGAGTGGGGGTATAATACTTCTCCTCAATGGAGTGAAACGGCTACTGCTGATTTAAGATGCTGATGTAAGTCTACCGTTGCAACAACATTGTAGTAGTGTCGATAAAAAAGCTTCTAATAGTCTCAGGTAACTTAACTTGATTATTATATAGTTTATAATATTTTTCTGCAATTTGTCGATAAATAACTTACTGCATGTGTTGAATCTTCTTATATTATATTTGTCTTTTTCATTTTTGTATTGGGCCCAAAAAATATATTCCTATTTTTGTATAGTATTAATAATTATATATGTATTTTGAAGATAAAACATTGATTATTGAATAATTTTTTTATGCATAAAATATGGATATTGCATAATATTGGTATAGAAGATATTTGTTTCTTTTGGTTGTCTTAAATGTTTCATATAAAAAATACTTCAATCCATTTAGTTTTTTTGGTATTTGATAACATTGGCCTTAAAGATATTACGATTTTGAGGATAATGAAAGATATTGGATAACATTAGTATTGAATATATTTTGATAATGCAACAAAAATATTGATTGTTTGATAATAGTGGAAGCTGGCTTTTGGAAAAATTTTTTGGTATTGGATAATTTTGGCATTAAAGATATTTTGATTTTAAGGATAAAAAATGATATTGCAGAACATTAGTATTGAATATATTTTGATATTGGAAAAAAATATTGATTATTTGACCACAGTGAAAGTTGGTTTTTGGAAAAAATTTTTGGTATTGGATAAGATTGGCATTAAAGATATTTGGATTTTGAGGATAATAAAATATGATATTGGATAACATTGGTATTGAATATATTTCGATATTGAAAAAAAAATTTTAACTGTTTCATAATAGAGGATGCTGGCTTTTGAAAAGTATTTAAATAGATAGAAAGAGGTTTGAATATTGTTTTAAGGGTTGAAGTTGTTTTATGGGTTAAATAATAGTTTGTGAGTTGAATATTGATTTGAATATTAATAAAAAGTGCGGAGGAAAATAAGTTAAATAATAATCATTATCGAAAATAATATAATATGGAAAAAGATTAAACAACGCTAATTCACGTTCATGTAAGACTATCATTGTTGCATTAGTTAGCTGAATTATAGTTAATGAAATTTTTTATAGGTGAAATACATGTAAGTAAATTTTTTAAAGCAATAAACTAAAATAAACGATATGTTTTGAAAATTGGCTTTATCAACAGTTTGAAAGTTGAAGAAGGATACCATGTCGAACATAGAAGAGTATTTTATTTTAAGTAATGAAGATTTTAAAATTATTGAAAATGTAAATGAAATGTTAAATGATATGCATATGTATAAATTTCAAGAATTATCAAAAAATGATTCAAATTCTTTTTTCATTATGCAAAGTACTTTGTATTTACAAATGCTTGATTTAATTGTTAAAATTAGAGAAAGAGATAAACATATTCAAATAGTTTTTAGCGGTAATAACAATTCTGGTCATTGGATTTGTGTTTATTACGATGGAGTAAGACTTTATATTTTTGATAACCTTAATGCAGGGTGTTCGAATATTCATCAAATAGAATATTTAATTACATTGTTCCCTTTTAAACCAACAGAATTTTTTGTAGATGTTGAAATAGTAATACAGTAACGATTACAAAAATAATATTATTATTAAAAATAATATTATTATTTTTGTGAGATCAAAATTCCAGTAAGTGTCCGTCAAATAAAAATAAATTTTTAATTTTTCATAAAAAATTGTAGATATCGCGCGCGTTTACGCGCGTTTCTTTTAGCTAGTGATATAATATATTAATAATCCCCGGACTGAGAGCTTATGAATGCTTAAATTTAAATAATTAAAATAATATTATTATTTGTACTTTCTGAAAGATGAGATATCAATTTTCAAGAAAAAAATTTAAAACCTACAAAATGTATTTGTTTTTACAATTTGCATGGGGTAACGTTTTTTTGTTATATCGCTTCTACAAAATTTTTTAAAAATGATTCGATTTTAATGTAATATGACTTATTTTCTTTAAAAAATGATTCTCTACAACTTCACCGTGGGGATTTTTAAACAAGCAAGCCGTTTGGAAAATATGACTATTTGTTTTAAAAAATCTAAATTTTTCTTTTAAACAAATAGTCATATTTTCCAAACGGCTTGCTTGTTTAAAAATCCCCACGGTGAAGTTGTAGAGAATCATTTTTTAAAGAAAATAAGTCATATTACATTAAAATCGAATCATTTTTAAAAAATTTTGTAGAAGCGGTATAACAAAAAAACGTTACCCCATGCAAATTGTATAAACAAATAAATTTTGTAGGTTTTAAATTTTTTTCTTGAAAATTGATATCTCATCTTTCAGAAAGTACAATTTACAATATTATTTTAATTATTTAAATGTTAATCAATTATTCTTTTCTATAGGTCTGCATTTCCGTGGATAAACGTCCTTAATCTAATTATTAAAAAATCTGAGTAACATGCGCAGCAATTGATTTACTTACCTTATAGGCCATTTTTTTGTACAGGGATTTTTGTTTATATTTTTTAAAATATGCATTTTAAATAAGTGGAAAAAATTGGATTCGAATAATTTATTTTCATTCTCTCGTTTAGACACAATCATTCTCGCTTTCACATTATTATTATTATTATTATTATTATTATTATTATTACTAAGAAATTCATAAATAATAAACGAAGAAAATATAAGTAAAATAAGTACATATGGCTTTCAAATACAGACTGTTTTAGAAAAATTATAAATTAGTTGGACAGTATAGAAATAGTATAAAGAAAAATCAGACTTTTCGGTACGAATTCCATTTCCATATTTATATAGAAATTTGGCCCCCTTATAGAGCAATATTTAAAATTAAAAGAAAAGTAATTCAAAATCAAAGTCCTCTTTGACATTTGACTTTATTTTTTTCTTATTATGTTTCCAGTGGAAAATCAGGGAAGACTCGGCTCTTAGGGATTTCCGAGAATTGTTCTATTTCAGGTACATTCGGTTCTGTTTCTGTTTCAATTAAGATCTGCTGCAACCACTGTTGAACTTGTTTTGGATGTTCAGAATCGTCAGTCGATACATTGTGATTTTTATGAAATTCCTTTTTCTCTTCGACAATATCCGAAATATTCTCCTTATTTCTTGTTTGTACTGAAGCTTTTTCAACTATTGTAAAATGATGTTCTTTTGAAGAATGTTCAGTTCCTCGACAACATAAACTGTAATCGAACAATTCCATCAGACTAATTTCTGGATTTGTCACACAAGAATCATCAAAATCGTCATCAATTAATTGAATGTTCATTAATTCCGTTGAATTTAAATCCCATGATTTAGTTGAAACGATTTTTGTTTCAAAACATTCATTTTGTATTTCTGAATTGGACGGACTTTCTGTTTTCTCGATTTGCAATTCCTTATCAAAACTGACATGATCTCGATTCGCTTCTTGATAATCCTCAACTTTATAGGGCTCTGCATCATTAATTATACAATTATTGTCGGATAATTCGATTTTACCGAATTGTAACACTTCCTTCTCGAGATCATTTTCTTTACTGAGATTAACAATTAATGAAGGTATGGAAGAATGGAGTTTTAAATTTGACTGTACAAGGGACAATTGTTGTCGGTGAATGGCATCAACCTGGCGTAAAAGTTGTTTTTCTCTGGATTTTATGACATCAACCAGTCGCTTGAAGCAGAGTTTTATTTCACTTTGTGCCTGTAAAATTATAAAATTTGTTTCTCATACAATTTATTATAATATGATAATAATTTTTAAAATACTAGTACATCTACACTGTAAAAAAATTAGGGAGTTAAAATTTTCGAGTTAAAAATCAACTCAAACAGGGAGCTAATAATTAAATTAACTTCTTAAAACCAACTCCCCCAGGCATAAAATTAACTTGTAAAGCATTAACTCCCTTCGCTTCAACTCCAAAAGGGTGGGACTTTTATAGCATCCCCTAGGGAGTTGAAATTAAACTCCTTTTTTTTCAGTGTATCTGTTTCATTTTCACTTTCTTCATTATTTATTTAATCTTCAATAATAATAATATCATCATGCTTTTTTCATATTTTAATCCCATTTTGTTTTTTAATTCAGAATTAAAATAAATATTTAGGTATTGCATATTTTTCTAACAAAACAATTTCTTTTTTATAAATATTTGTATCATTTAAAATTGAACGTGATCGTTAAGTTATAAACTATTAGCTTTGATTAACATCACATTACATCAAAATCATATTTGGTTAATTACAAAGGTCTACAAGGTTCTTTTTTTGAGATGTCAGAGTGGTTTCCAATGTATTTTTGTGTCCTAAACACGAACCCGGGTTCCGAAATTGCGTATCACGTCAGGATTTTGAGTAAAGTTGGAGTAAATTCTCCAAAAACTGTGTTTTTGAGGGTTTTTACTATTTTTTCTCCTTAACCCGATGTGATAGAGACTTCTATATAGGTTTAAATTAAAGCTTAGATCGTACACAACATTTTAAGACTCATATGCGCAAGATAAAAGAAAAATTTTAAATTTTGAAAAAAATTAGGTTCAAGACACTCTAAAAATAGTTTCGTGAAATTAGCACCGCAACTCAATAAAATGAAAATCTTTCTATATAGAATCGTTTGATGGTCGTTTGATATTGTGTGATAGTCACTTTTAAACGTTTGATAGTCAATACTAAAGAAATTAAATTCCTTTTTAAAATGGGGTGCTATCTTCGGGACGCATGATTATGTTCTAAAAATCATTAGTTAGAATTTTCTTTTTATGGAATTTCATTTGTCATAATTATTTTTGAGTCGAATTTTTATTTGTTCGAATTAATATTTTGCAGAATTTTCATCAAATCAATTTTCTATATTACAGAATTTTTATCTGTTCGAATTTTCATTTGCTCAAATTTTCATTTAACATAATAGGAAGTTAAACGTTAAAAAGTCTTTATCAGTTATTTTTCGAAAAATTCCACGTATTCCACCTGTTAAGCTGACGTAACCAACTTGATGAATCCGGTTGGCACTTATATCAAAATTTAGTGCTAGTTTAGTGCCACATTGCTAAATTTAGTGCTCTGCATTTAAAAAAACGTGATTACGCTGACTTAACATTAAACTGGCGTAATCATACCTTACAAATTTAACTAAATCGAAAAATCGACCTCGTCAAAATTTAGTGCTTCCATTATAGCATACTCCCAAATTTTATGCTCTGCATTTTTTAAAAAAAATCCGTGATTACGCTGGCTTAACGTTAAGCTGGCGTAATCGTACCTTTTCAACTCTTCTTATCTGGTTAAGGAAAAAATTAATTCTGTCTGGAAAGTAGTGAGAAAAGTCTGAAAACAACAACAAATTTTTGTGGCAACCAGCGTGGCGAGTAGATCGGGGAAAATTGGAAAATGACCGGGAAAACTAGGAAAATAATCACAAAAATCCGAAAATTATCATATGATTTCATTCGTAATAAACTATAAAATTTAATGTAAGAGGGGTCTTAAATAATTAAATTAACATATAAATATACATAAACTAAGAAAAATTCTCCGATTTTTATTTATGCAATATACCCATCCCTGGCGTTGATACACTTTTTAAGTGATAGTCTTGCGCCATCTAGTGAGAAATTGTTGTAGGTAATCATGTAACAGTTCTTTGTGATTTCGGGGTTATGTTTCATTGTTGACATAAGAGATCACATAATTTCTGTTAAGATTTAATGATATGTTTTTCGTAATATGACTTCTATTGTGGAAAAAAAGCCGAGTGTTCTTGAAAGTACATGGATTTCATGTATTTTAAAACGAAAAAAAGAAATTTTTCTATAAAATGGGAAATTAAAAGGTAAAAAAGACCAAGTATGGCAAAACCTGTCAGACGATTTGGACGGAAAATGGTCTGCAGTGACTTTTTATAATAAGCTGTGTAATTCAGATATTCGCAACAAGTTAGGACTACCGCAAACTGCAAGCAATCAAGATATAAAGGAAAATACAAATTTAAGTGGTGATTTGAATGTTTCCGAAGAAATAATTTCCGATGACGAGGAAGATGATTTTAAAATTTTTGCCGATAAAAAAACTTTTGAGGCTCTATTTGTTGAAAAAAATATAAATAAAAAAAGAGTAATACTTTAGAAGACAACGAAAAGACAAAAACTTGCCTTAGATTGGAATCCGGCAGATAGGAACACTGGATAACAGAAGAAAATAAGGCAACAAAAATTGTTTGTGGTTTATTTTATTTAAAAAAAGCAATATAAAAATATAATTGAAGAAAAACTAAAATAAAAAATGACAATTTTACTTTTCTCAAAAATTATAAATAGAGGTTTATTCCATAAATTTCAATTGAAGTATTAAATATATATAACTGATTCTCTTTAAAAAAACATCACACATTCACTGTATTTTGTTCAAACATAATTAAATTAATTAATAATGTACAGAACTGAAAAAGCTGCATTAATAATGAAACCTGGAGATGGAGAACCAGGTAAATTATCTAAAGCTTCAGTTTTAAAAGTAGTCAAAACAGAGATGGTTAACTCAAAACATTTGCATCAGGATCCTAGGAACGCTTTAGAAATTATGAAATTTTCAAAGCAAATTAACGCCATTCATAGCATTGAACACAATCCATTTTTTGTACACTTCTGGACTAATCACCAACAAAGTTTATATTTGCGACATGCAAAAACTGATGTAGCAAGTGTATGTTTCGATGCAATCGGCGGATTAGTAAAATCGATGGAATGGGTCAAAGGAGAAAAAAGAAAACCAACTTTTCTGTACTTGATTGTCGTCAATGATCTTGTTGGGCAGTACATTGTGGCCTCCATGTTCAGCGAAGTTCATAACACTAATGCTATAAGGTTCTTTTTAAAGGAATGGACTCGACTTGGTGCACCAGATCCAAAAGAATTTACAACTGATGAAGCTAAAGCAATTCTGACAGCAGCAATTCAAGCTTTTACACAATTTTTTACTATTGATGAATATAACATTGCTACTGGAGAAAATCAAATACCACGATGTTATATTCGTATAGACGTTGCCCATTTTATAAAGTTATATCGCGATTTCTTGGCTAAATTGACAAAATTGAAAAAAATTCAATTCTTCTATAAAGCGTCAATCGGACAACTGATTTAATGCGCAAGTCTGCAAAATGCTGAAAGAATATTGAAAGATATTCTCACAGTAGCACATTGCGAAACAGATGGACAAGTCGTCGGTTCTAAAAGAATGACTCAATGTGATCAGAAACGTAAGTTTCTTAAAACAGCAAGTTGTGAACACGGAAAACATGATAATGCTTATTATCTTCGACAATTGGCGGCTCGTTTAATGGAAGATATGAAATCGTTCCCTTTATGATTTTGTATATTAAGATTTAAGAGATAAGTTTGGTTATGGCAAAATTCCCGCCACAAGTGCCCCTGTTGAAAGCCACATCAAAGATATCAAAAAAGATTTACCACAAAAAACGCTTATGAGATTAGATGATTTCGTTGACTTTTTCCTCTCTTATGTGACAGGCCGTTCAAATATTATCGGGGCAAGAGCGATGGAAATTGATTTTAATAGTAGTGCTGATTCTTCACTTAGAGACGAAATTGTTCTAAACGAAGCTTGTGTTGTCGAAAAAGACAATTCCGAAATGGTTACGGAAAATGACAATTCTGATTCAATTCTGATTCTGATTTTAGAAGTAACTAAAAATGAAGAAAAAATAACATCAAAACCAAAAAATCCGCTACAAGAGGTGACAAATTATGTTTTTCAAGTGTGCCTCAAAAATATTGTACATAATAGTTCGATAGATACGAATAGCGAGAAAATCTGCGACGAATGTCAGAAAATCAAAAGTGCGCTAGAAATTTTGGCCTCTCAAAATGAAGAGAACTAGGGAGGGTTAAACACCAAAAAATCTAAAGAATCTAAGTAAAAAACAAGTACACAAAGAACGGAAAACGGAAAAGTTGCTTACAATTTAGATAAGAATGTAGTAACATACGATTCACTTTCATATGAACCATTGTCGAGTGTAAAAATAGTAAAAAATGGAAACAATTTTGATTTACAGGTAAGAATTGACAAAATAATCATGAAAAAAAAAATCACTTCGGGACACGTGGCTTTGAGATTTTACATCTCTTTTCGAATTTACGCGGACTAATCGCGCTCATGCGCATAGATATGATATAAATATAAAATTTAAAAAACAGTCTTTTAAGCTTTATGAAATCCAATTTTTAGTATCCTTCTTTTTCACTATAGTAAGGGAATAGTTCCACTTTTGAGCACCCTTTTGTTTATGGCTCATAACTTTTAACCAAATGCATATTATGAGACTTGTGTGTATCAGTGTCAATCTAGAGGCCTTAGGTAACTTTAAAAAAAAACTAAATTGATTCCTTCAATTGGAAAGATTTTATTAAGAATTTAGTGAAGTGATTACTTTTAGTGAAAAAAAACTAGTACCCGGTTGTGGACACCCTAGGAGAATCCGCAATAAAATGAAGGAAAACTACCATAATTGAAATGAAAATGATAATTTCTGAATAACACGGGATATTCCAATCACATTCCTGGAATATTTCATTAAAATATTGGGAATATTTTAAAATAAAATTCCATTTACATTCCAGGAGCATAAAAATAACCACTTTTTGAAATATTCTTTTGAAATGTTGCAAGAATATTTGGATA